GCCGCTTCTTCTTGGAGGGGCGTCTCCTATGTTTCTTCTTGCCTAGCTGTCTCTGCTGCTGTTTCCACGACTCCTCGCCCACAGCGGCAGGAGACCCCAACTTGTTGGTCTCGGAGTCATGACAAGGCTGGGCGAGCTGTTCGGCCTCAGGCTTCGGTTCCCCTCCTGCTGCCGGCGGGGGTGCTCCGCCAGGGGACAACTCATCTCCATTCTGACCACTTTGGTCCGCTCCCAGGCAGCTAGCTTCTGGACAGACCTGGGTCTGCAGAGGCGGCGAGTGGGGTTCCAGGCTCCCTTCCCCCTCCTGCCCTGGATGGCCATCTGACTGGGGGAACGCTCTCGATTGCCACCTACTGTCCTCCTCTGGCACCCGCTCCTCAGCGCCTGGGGGGCGATCGGGGTTCCGCTCTTCTTGGACAGCATCAGCACCTGTACAGTTGCTGGTTTGAGGCTGGTGCTGATATTCCGACAAGAGTGGCTCGGCCATGGCTAACAGTCCTCTTCTTGAAGTTTGAAGAATTTTGGCTGTAAGTCCTTGAGGAAAAAGAGGTTTTTCTTTTCTTTTAAAAATGTCCGACAGAGTCCACTTCGGTAATTCCCGCAGTGATGTCTTTAGCCAGTCCTGTCAGCAAACTCCCAATGCAACTTGGGGGAGCTTAAGTCAGTAAAGGGTTAAGCGCCACAACGCGACCAGCTAGCAGGTCCAGAGGGGTGCAGCAGCAGGAACAGTACGTAGTGTGCGGAGAGGGTCGGCCTCAAGCCTCCCCGCAGAGCGCCCCCACGAACAGTGGAATTGGTGGGCTAGAAGATGAGGTTAAGTCCAATGGGTTAAACCCAGCCCCGAAGGGGTTAAAACTACCCGATGACGCTGCCGCCGAGGGGCCGGATCCACAAAGGGTTAAATCCCCTGCCGCAGAGCCCACAAGGGGTTAAGGTCCCAGAGCCACCTCCTCCCACTTCCACGGGTGTCGCTCCAACCCGAGCTTCCAGTTCCTTAGGCCGGGCCGGAGCCTTATCCGAGGACAGACAAACTCATCTCCCCTTTGGCTCGATGCTCTGCTCAGCTCAGCTCAGTTCTCCGCCTCCTCCTCTCCTCCCTCCCTCCCCCTTCCGACAGCTCCTCTTCCGCCTCCTCCCCCAACTTCCCCTCCCAACCTGTCTCTCCACCTGCCAACTTCCAACTGCTGCTTCCCAGCCCTCTGCGCCGCTTTTATATAGACGCTTGTGCGCCCCGCCTCCGCGCATGCGTAACGGGGTCCCCATTGCAGGAAGCTGGGACTCGTAGTTCCCAGCTTTCGGGCCCGCGGTCCTCACGCGCCTTGCGACGTAGCCAATCCCAGAACGCGTAGGGGGCGTCTTCCAGGCCACCTCCCTTCATCCCTTATCCCTCGTTTGAGAAACGTGAGCGACAATTGGTCGAGAATCACACGTATCACGGAGGAAGGAATGCCAATCACAGAGAAGATGAGGCGGGTTCTGGACCATACCATTCTGTTTCAGGAATACGAGAAGATTCCATGGTCCATGAAGGTACACAGAGGATATTTCCATGAAAAGGTGCGTCCTAAATCCTGATATCGTTTTCTGTTCCGAATGGAAGGATTCTGAAGGTCATAAACATTTGTTAACTAAAGCAAAAAATGGTTTATTCCTAAAAAGTAGTCCCTAAAGTGTTAAAAAAAATAATTAAATAAATCTAATAAAGAGAGATGTTGGCTCAGGGATGGTAACTCTCGATTCTTAATATTACAGAAATGGTTTCAAAGTGTGTGGCTAGTGCCTGGGGCTGACGTTTGCGGACGGATATTTTAATACATTTTGTAAAAAAAACCCAACAAAAAACGAAAAGCGCATGAAGAAGTAAACAAATGAGGAATAAAAAGTGCCGCCTTAAAGGGACAGTGTGACTACGTTAGTACAGTAGTCTCGAACTAGGCCTCAGAAGATGAGAAAGCAGGTTCGAGTCCTGAGTGACGTCCACCTTCAGACTGGCCTCTAGGTCTACGCGCGAAAATGACCGAGTCCGAGCCTCAGTGTAGCCTTTCAGGGCCGCTGCCGCCCCGGGGACCAGTGCAAAATGGTGGGCTGAGGCTGAGCCTCTCTCCTGGGCTGGGAACCGGGAGACGCGGGGTGTGCGTCCGGAGCTCCCTGGAAACCCTGGGCAGGAAGGCGTCACCCTGGGGCCTCAGCTTCCACCGAAGAAAATGGCCTCTTGGGGATGACTTGGTCTGTTCACTTCCAAGCCCACCTGGAGCATTTCCTGAGATGGACGGGGAAGTCCACGCCACCTAATGAACTTTGATGTTGGGAAGGGGTTTGAAATTAATAATAAATTTAAATAATCGATCCTGAATTTAAATAACAGAGAGAGGCAGAGAAAGGGATATCACCCTCAGAGGCTCTTCCTCATCACTGGGCATCAGCAGGAGGGAAGCAGAGCCAGAGAGGAAGGAGGAGGCCTTGCCCAGAAACGAGGGCAGGGGATTTTGGCCCAGGACTGTGGGGTAGACTCATGGGGAAAGGGGAGAAAACTTGGTCTCCTTGAGAACATTTTTTAGATTCTAAGCATCTGCCCAAAGGACAGGGCTTAGGAGTAGCCCAAACCCTTGGCCCTAATAATTTAGGCCTAAAATCCGGTTTAATCTTAACTTCTCCCTTTTACCACATACCTAGTGACCCATTCTTACTATTCCTTCCTTAATAGCAATGGCTGACATTCCAACCACATTCCACACTGTTTGTGCTTTTACCACAAAAGTATTTGATCCTACCACAGCCCAGTGCGTAAGGATAGGAATTACTGTCTCCATTTTAGAGATAAGAAATCTCTAAGATTCAGAGAAGTGAAGTGACTCATCCAAGGTCACATGACAATTCTGGCTAGTGTGGGGTCTTTGTGACCTCCCTGCCATTTTCCTTTCTGTCACAAACAAAATTACCTTCTTTCTCAAGAACTCTGTATTTAGTTCCTTCACATTCCTAGCAGTTTCAGCCTAAGTCAGGCCCTTACTTCTTCATTTAGCAAAGATTTGTTAGGAGGGTATGATGATGAATAAACATCACCCTTGCTGCTCGTGGACTGTGTGGAGAGGCCATCGAACCAGTCAGCCAAAATGGCAGGTGACGAAAATCTGGCAGAGTTTGTGAGCCAAGCTGCTTAGGAGTTGGGAATTGCATTCAGGTTTCAAGGGGAAGTGACTTACCGGCTGTCTCTGACGGCTGAATCATTTTCAGGCAAAGTGGTACGAAGGAAGGGCATTTTATGAAGAGCAAGCATCACGTTCAAAGAAAGGACTTGTCTGGGAATTCAAGAGTGCTTCTGTGAGAAAGTGGCGATGGGTGCCCCAATGGAGATGGCAAGCAGGAGTGCCTCTGGGGTACAGCCAGATGTTTTGAAACTGACCATCCCAGCCTGTTTTTCCCTGAGCTTCCAAGAACTCAAGTCGATCTGAAGAGCCCGCTTTCTGTGCTGCTTCATCAGTCACCCAAGTTTCCTTAGGAGCAAGAGCTGCCCCTCACCCTGGGAGGCAGACCTCCAATTTGTTACCACATTTTCAGACTCCAGAGGCCTAGTGTGTGTTCTCAGTCAGGGGCTTTGGAAGGTAAAGCTGTGCCCAGCCTGTTTACTGGACAGGGCTCAGCTATATGGGCTTATTTGTCACACTGGGGAGGGGAGCCCAGGCTACTAGGCTGTGGAATTCTGGAATTCCATCAAACAGGAGCTCAGGCATCTTACCATTAGCTGCGTTTTACCCTTTGCAAGGTATTTCGAATGCCCTCATCATTCCGACCACAGGACTGCCTTACGATAGGGATCATCCTTATTTTGTAAACAAGATAACTCAGGGCCAGAGTCTTGCCAACGTCATACAACCAGTGTGTGCAAGTGGTGGAGCCGGCTTCCAGCCCCAGACTGGATCCCCAGCACCAGTGTGGTCCCTCTCTCACGGCCTTGCTGTTGCTTATAACGCAGGGCCAACTGTGAGCCACGGGGCCATGTGTCTGTTGTGAGGGTAACTGCCTTGAGAAAAGGACTAAGGACAAAGAGTGATGGTGGCTTCCAGTGGGGCAAGTGATGGCCAGGCCTGGGAGAGTTGGCAAGGACAGGAGTTGACCCAGGTAACTCAGGAGTTTAAAGATCTCCAAGGAGGGGCCTTCAGAACTGCCTCTTGCTCACGCAGGCGTAGGAAGGCCCTGGGGCTTGGGGGGGTGGCAGTTACAGGGGCTCAAGGCTGCTACAGCCCTCCACGGGTAGAGACCCTGGCCAGTGGCCTCTGAGAAGCGCCAATACGGCCTAGACAGCAGGGTTGGTGCCGATCAAAGGAAGCCAAGGTTGCCAGGCACTGAGGATTCCGTGCCCAGGCAGCCATCAGACAGCATCACCCAAAGGTCTGTGCCCACGCCGGCGCTCTGCCCATCCCTGCGGGGGCTCCCTGCTCCCATGCGTGAGGGCCGGGAGAGAGAAAAGGTTCCCACTTGGTCTTGGCCTTCAAGAAGGTTCCCTGGGAAAGGCCCAGTACGGGGTGGATGGGAAGGGGGCACCGGGAGCGAGCAACTGAAGGGTAAGCGAGCAATGTGTACTTCTGGGGCCAGGATGTCTGGACCCCAACCCTAAGCTCAACGCAGGGAGCGGGGAGCAGAGAGCAGACGTCCTTCCGGTGCTGACGGAGCTCGGCCTGGGCCCGTAGGGCCCCCGACAGGGAGGAGCGAGGTAGGGCTGAGCCCTTGGCCCAGACCCTGAGGCGGGTGTGGCCATGTCCCTCCCCTCCAACGCCCCAGCCCCACCCCTCTCGTAACACCCCCGCTCCCTTCCGCTTCCGCCTTTCCTTAAGACCCCGGATTCTGTGTTCCCCAAACTTCGCCACGGAGGACAGTCTTCCTCCCTTGGAAACACCAGCCAGCAGCCTCTTGTGCTGTCCGAAAGGACGTGGGTGGTGGGAAGCAGGCAAGAGGCTGTGCCTCATGCGCTCCAAACTCGATTTCTGTTTCACTTCGTTGACGGCAGAAAATTAAGGTTTTATTTTATTTAGTGAAACATTCATTTGTAACTGAATCTTCAGCGAAGACGTCCTGAGTGTTTGTGGGGAAAGAGGCTAGCAAACGGAGGAGCGCACGCCCCTCCCCCGGGGCCTGTTCACTCTGCCTTCCGCCAGCTTGTCGGGGCCTCCTGGCCTCCCTCCCAAAGCCTCCCAGCCAACCAATCCCAGGACCCGGCCCAAGTCCCAACTTGCCCAAGAGCTAAACCTCCACAGGGAGAGGCTTGGGGAGGAGAAGAGTCAGGTGACCTAGGGGGTGGGGAGGGCAGAGGCTGAGACACGGCAGCCCCGCCCCTGAGTCACGGGCCCTCCCAGAACCTAGGAAGTGGACCGCAGAAGCAACCTTCCGGGGAAACCTGGGATGGGTTGGGGTCGGGGGAGGGTTGGGAGAAGCCGCCCTGTGATGTTGCCGGGAAAGGTGGGGTCTTATTTGTCCCCTCCCCCAACAGAGGAGGGGTGCCAAGGCAAACACTGATTGGTAGTGGTGGTGTGGGGGCGGGGATTAATGCTGGTTCCTAAACCCTGGAAAGGCTCTCAGGGCACGGCAGAACGGGACTCGTAGCCTCCCCCGTTGGCTGCAGAGACTCCTTCATTGAGAGTCACCTCTTCTGGGTCCGAAACTGTCTGACGAGCCACTGGACAATGAAGGGCCACAGGAGGAAGAAGAGCAGCGTAGGACCCGAGATCCTGAGGGGCCAAGGACGAGCACGGGATGGGGGCGTCTGCTGTCAAGAGGGAGGGAGGGAGAGAGTCAGGGGCCAGCCCACACCTGAGCACCGACTGGCCCCTCCTTAGGGACCTGATTGCAGATCTCAGTGGGAGCTTCTACTTCCTCAAGATTGCGGGGACTGGGTCAGAGAAGCCCCGCATTATCTGTACCACTAGAAGGGGAGGGATCCTGGGCTTCCTAGTGTGTTCCTGACAGATTAGCTCCAACTCATTCCTATGTCCTCCTTCCAGGACAATCAATCCCAGGTGCCAAGAGGGCTGGAGATGCAGGGGCTGCTGGGCAGAGGGACTGACTGCTGGGCTGCTTCCTCTGGGCCACAAAGCAATGACCCTGCTGGAGTGGCCTTAAGACCCCATATTGTGAAGGATGTGACACATATTTCAAATGAGGGCCCGAATGCTCAGATTTTAGTCTCTAAATATTCTTTGCTAAAAAGACCCAGGGCTCCTTGGAGAAGTGGTTGATTCCAGGTCTGAAGAAGGAAAGGCAGAGGTGAACGTGGGACACCTTGTCCCAGAAAGCAAGGAAGCTTTTAAAGATTAATGAGGTCATGATAGGACCCGACTTGAAAGGGTCTCGCCACTGACCAAAGTTGTAATAATCGGAGCATGGAAAAGAGTCATGTGTGCAGTTGATTGAAATACTGAATTTTTTAAATCCAGGAGTCCACAATCATACTCAAAAAAAGAGGAAGTCGGAAATTTGTCACCACTGAGTTGTTAAATCAACTCCTTGCTTTAAAAAGAGGTAATTAAAGAGAATTAAGCACTTATTCTGCCTCTTCAGAAGGCACTGCATTTCAGGGAAATCCTGGATAATCAAGGAAACTACAGAAAAATAACAGCCAATAAATTTTAAAGGAATAAAATAATTGGAAGGTAAACTTTTTTGGCAACCACTAAATAAATATTGATTTAGACAAGGATCATCTATCAACTGTTGTCCACACCCATGTGACAAACGGTGTGAACAGGAAACCAGCCATTCCCTGGCTCGAAGAGAAAAACATGACTTCACAATGGTGAGATTGGACTGTCATCCCATTATCCATGTGGGTGATCCATGTTAGAATCATTAATGGCAGTACATCCAGATACGCTTCCCCTGGGGTGAAGGACTTCACCTCTGATGAAACCTGGTCACGTAGACTAGCCACGAGGATGTAGACAGACCCCCCCGCCCCCCCAAAAAATGGAACATTGCTACAGGACCACTGGCTGAGTCTCATTAGCAAGTCAATAGCAAGGAAAGTGGACTGGTCTTGATGAGAAGGGTCTTAAGAGGTCAAAGGAACCAGAACCTGCACGTGTTCCTGGGCTGGACAGACGGAGCAGCTGGGAAAGGAGAGATTTGAGTTTGGATTGGCTGTTTGATGACATGAAGGACTTATTGTGTGATAAAATAAGGTAGTAAAATGTTCTTATTTTTAGACATGCAGACCCAAGTATTTCAGGGTGGAAATCTTTAAAATGTTCAGCATATACAATTAGTAAAAGGTAAAGAAAGTAAAAAAAGCTGGGGGAGGGATGCTGAAATGTTAGCCACCATGGATGTGTGGAGATTCCTGCCGCCCTGGTTGACACTCACTGCGCCAGGGGTAATCGGAGTCACCCAAGTGACCCCCCTTCAAGCAACTCAGCCCTCACCCGCCCCACCACCCCAGGCTTCTCAAGAGCACAGCCACTCAGAGTTAATAGTGGGTGCTAGTTTTGGAGGGAGACAGACCTAGGCCCTATCACTTAATAATATTAATACAGTTCCACCACTCAATGTTAATAATAATACTAATAACAACCAGGAACCGCATTCCAGGACGTCTGTGTGTGTGTGTTGGGCACTGGCGAGGCACCTATATGCATTATCTCTTCTAACCGTCACAGCGCTCTGTGAGGTTCTTCCAGGCTGTGCGCCACCAGGAAGGTTACTCAGCCTCTCAGAGCCTTAGTGTTCTCATCTGAAAAAGGGAAGTGAACATCTATTTCATAGGGTTGTTTTGTGAGTTAAGTGAGATAATGCAACTAATGGCGTTTGACACACAGCTGGGACCCCAGAAATGGGAGAAGCTGAGGTCTGAGGGGCAAGCAGATCTTGGAGTTGAGGGCATGGAGTAGGGGATGCAAGGGCTGAATTGTTTGGTGGGGAACCCTAAATCTGGGAACAGAAGTCCTAACTGAAGAACAACAGGGACCCCCAGCCCCAATGCAAAGAGCAGACACATCCTGCTGGAATTAGTTCTGCTCACTGTCTCCTCAGGCAAAGGGACGTAAGGGCAAGAGAAAAGGGCCCTTCCCTCCCTCCCTTCCGGGAGGAAGCACTTCAGATCCCCTGGATTACCTGCTTGAGAGTCACACCATTCTCTGGAGGAGGCCAGAGCGTGGGCAGGTGGAGATGTGGGGACAAAGAAGTGGCTGGATGAAGAGCCAGGAGAGAGACGTTCAGAGTTCTGCCCCAAACTTGCCCTGGGTCTTGTGCGGGGGGAGGGCTCACCTGCTTGCGGGGGCCAGGCATACTCTCCAGGCTTTGCAGTCTCCCCTGGACATCCCGCATGCTCTCCTGCAGTGCTCGAACTGTCCCCACCAGCCACGTGTCCAATTCCTGGGGCCCTGGCAGGCTGCCTTTCAACCCCTCTGTGGGGAACAGATGCATATGGAAGAGGACTCAGGAGGTAACTCGGCTTGGGGCAGGTTGGTGGCAGGCTGGGGCAGGTCCAAGAAAGAGTAAGAGCAGGGCGCCATTCCTTGGACTAAGTGTGACTTTTGTCAAGTCCAGCCACATGGCTGAGTAACAGGCTACCAAGGGTAGTTGTGCGACTTTAGGAAAGTCGGTAACTTTTCTGAGCCTCATTTTGTCATCTGAAGATTAAAAGACGATGTCATCTCCCTCACAGGGCTGCTGGCTCAAAAGAGTATTTATGAAAAGTGCCCTTTATGGGACATGGCACACCAGAAATTATAGAAGGGGATAGGGCGAAAGTCATTGTTGCCCTGTGAGAGTCCCAAATGGGGGGTGCCCAGAGAAAGAGGATGACTCCCAAAGCCACGTAGCTGTAACTATGTGGGGGACTAGCACTTCCTGCCCCGGCTGCCCTTAGTGCCTGATGGCTCCTGATTGAGGGCCCTCAGGGACAGGAGGCTGGGCGAGGACTTTGCCCATCCAGGCCGGCGTCTGGCTGTTTGGCAACCCTTGCCAGGCAGAGGCTGCTCTCTCCAGTGCCCCGGGCTGGACTTTCATCTGTACCCCAAGAGGGCAGCCAGGGGAAGGTCTGGGGCACTGGAACCATGGGGAAGGGCAGAAGGAGGTTAAGGGTCAGCAGTGGCTCACCTTTCTCTGTTGGGGGCACAGGGCTGCTTCTGCTGTCAGGCTCTCCTCCAGGGGCGCCCTTCTGCTCCGCCCAGACCTGCTGAGATGAGTTACGAGGTCAAGGGGAACAGCGAGAGCTGCCAGGGCACAGAAGGGTGGGAAGGGGAGGCTAGCTTACCAGCTCAGGCTCCAGCTGCTCCAGGGAATCACAGAAAACCTCGGAGTCCAGGTCCCTGGGTGGCTGACACTCTAGGGAGGGGGTAGGTAGGTTAGTAACAAGAGGAAAGCTACGGAGGGCGGGGAGCAGTGCAGTGCGGGGCGGAGGGAATACAGACTCTGCTGCAAGAGGCACAGATGGGTCCCAGAGAGCGAGGCCCTGGAAGAGGAATCCCAGAACCTTCCCCCCGGCTTCCCCTGGAGCACAGGAGGTCTCTGTCTGTGGGCATGAGGTATAATGGGCACAGCCTGGCATCCAGCCTTTTCCCCTTCACCTACCTGGAGGCCTCCCCAACCCTGGCCTGCGTTTGGCCCTCTGCCCCTCCTTCCCAGCCACTGACCTGGGCTTGCAGGTGCTGGTTCCTTGGGGAAGCAGGGAGGCTCCGGGGCAGCCCCAGCATCTCCATTCATTACCTGCTCTTTGCAACCTGCACAGACATAGTAAACAGGGATGCAGCTGGGAAGAGGCTGGCACCTCCCAGTGAGATCAGACCTCTGTTTCCCACTAGCCATGGACTCTGTCTGAGGGCCCTCCCCGCTTCAGGGCCCGTGGCTGGGTTCCTTACTGGGACATCACCTGAAGCCCTCTGTCCCCAGGCCTCCCTCCAGCTCAGCAGTCCCCTCGGCCTGAACCTACTACAGTTCACTCAGCACCTGCAGAGCTCCCATCCTGGGGGCCTGACCTGTGACCCTTCTTAGGAAGGTTTCTGGGGGCCTCGGCATGTCAGGGATCAGCCGGTACAGGGGCTCAAAGTAACCAAAAATGTCGTCTGCCACCTCACCCAGTGGCACTGTATCAATCACCTGTAGGGAATAAAGTTTACTGGGGGAGCAGCTGGTCCCTTCCGCTCCTGCCCTCCTATCCCTTTGAGCTGGGCCCCCTCCACCCTGCTCCTGCCATCATATCCTCCGCTTTGTGCCCGGAGACCAGAGACAGGGTTGAGGGGACAGCGTGAAGGTGGTAATTCCGACCCGGTGTCCATGTGCAGGAAACATAATAGGGGGCAGCATTGGAAGGACGAGGGGCAGGCCACCTGGCCGGGAGCTAGGGACAGAGAGGAGCCCACAGCCCATTCCTCCCTACCTTCTGTGCCACCACCTTCATCTCAGTGATGTAGGCGGACATGGCCTCCTCCCTGCTCATCTTGCCCAGGCTGTTCCAGGCATCCCTGGGGACAGAGAGCTATGAGAAGCTGGTTGACAGCTGAGACTTGTTTGCCCGGCCGGTGGGGAGCTCACCACTTATATTGTCCAATGGGGTTCCAGAACCCAGGCCGGGGAGCCTGGCAGGGCCCCATGGTAGCCTGCTTGTAGTAGCTGTAGAATCGAAGCATCTCTTCGTAGGAGGGGCGGTAATAGCCTGGGCAGGAAGTTGGGAAGTGGAGGGCAGAGCATCACCCCCAGCTCCAAGAGGATGGAGGTGGGGGGAGGACCACCCTAGGACAGGGCAGAGATGGTGAGGGGTCTACCAGGGGCAGGAGGCAAGGGGACCCACCAAGTGGCCCAGGCAGAGACTTGTCTGTAAAAAGTGAAGGGAACAGAGCCTCCTGGAAGGCAGACCCCAGCCACCTTGACCCCCAAATGCAGGCCCCTGTGCCCTCACCATCACTGTTCTTAGGCAGGTTCTGAATGACTCTCACTGCGGCCTGAAACTGTTCCTGGCAATCCGGTTCTGGAATTTTTTTCTCGGTACCCATACCCAACTGCTCCGAGCACTGAGGCAACTCTGCAAGAACAAGCCTCTATGTGAGCAGGCCTCCGGGGGCCACCCAGGCACGCAGCTCCGAAGCCACTGATCCACTTTCCAGAGAGGCAAACTAAGCTCTCGAGAGGCCTGAGATACCCGGGGAGGTCAGAAGCTGTGGCTGAAGAGGCTCCTTTTTCTACCCCAAGGCAGCGTTGGTGCGGCTGGAGCGGGTGGTGAGGACCTCGGTGGGTGGAGAGGCAGGTGGTAAGGGGTCGCGGTGCCCCCCTAAATGCTCATCTCCAACTCCTGGACGGGCAAATGGGCAAGCCAAGAGGAGTGAGGCGGGCGAACAGTCCTCCCACCCTGGCCTCCGCACCCCGGCCCGACAGCCCGGCACTCACCCCGCAGAGCCCCCTGCCCGTAATCTGGGTCCTTTCTCGCCACTAGCCGAAGGCTTCCTACTGACCTCCCGGCCCTGTGTGGCCAGGATGGGGACGCGGGGCGAGGGGGAATTTAAGCCAATGAGAGAGCCCGTTTTAGATTGGGCTTTTATACCCCCAGCCACTCAGCGAGGCCTTTTCAAGATTATGCAAATAGTTAGCTGTGCCCCTCCCAATCAGGCGGGGCGAATCCTTCCCCGGCTCTGCTAGAGGCGGGCGGAAGCGCCTCCTGGTGGACAAAGTGAGGTAACACGGAGTACTCGCGCCCCCTGGTGGAATCACGTCTGTCAGCCGAACCCAGGTCTTTTCAGACACCAGTCGCTGTGGATAAAACAGGGAGCCTGCCCTGGCGTCTGGAGTTCCGGAGGAGGAGTATCGGAGCTGACTTTGGGAAGGCTTAAGCCAGGAGAAGAAGGAGGGAGGTCCTTCTGGAGGAAGGAATTGCAGGATCAAAAGTGTAGAAGCGAAGACTTGACATTCAGAAGGAAAATCCAGAGAGGGATGGGGACCCAAACCAGCGTGTGGAATCACTGGGTCGAGGGTGTCTGAGAATGGGGTAGAGCCTGGGGCAAATCTTTGGGGAATCTACGTCCTGATGCCACGCTCTTGGCCGCTGCGGAGTGGCAGCGGGCGACCAGATCTTCGCCGCCGACCCAGGGCACTTGTGACAGACAACTCACACGTGCGCGCACACGCAGTCACCTGTCCATCCCATCCTTCCTGAACAAACACGCATGCGGTTTTTATATATGGTAAGTGTACACTAGACACTATCACTAGAACCCGCACTCGACGCTCAACCACGGGTTGATGTTACAGACATCTACGCAGCGTGCAGCGGCTGTCCCGGGACGGTCACGCGCCCGGCGAGGGTGCCAACCCCTCCAAGCCTGGAACCCCAAAACCCAGTTCTGCCAGCGACTGTAGGGTCCAGACCAGTCAACCTCGCGAGACTCCTACAACCAAGGGGTCGGCATCTGGCCGGCGCTGAGAGGCTGGCAACTTGCCGGGCGTGGAGAGGGTTAATCCCATGAGGTCACAGCAAGAGCCTTCCTGCGCCCCCACCCATCACTTCCCGCTCCTCTACTCTTACGGTTCGGGCTGCGCTGCTGCCCGGCTCTGCTCTCAGGGCCCTATCCGCTTTCCGGGAGCCACTACCCTTGGCCCGGGACGAGCCGCCCTGCAGACCCCGTCTTCTCCCTGGCTCCCTTCTGAGGCCTCCCGGTGGGACTGGAGAAGGAGAGGGCGGGGAGGGGTCCCGAGTCCGCACTGAGTCCAGGTAACGGTGTCTGCGCGGGAGGACAACCCTCGCCCCCTCCGATGCCCGTAATGGAGGGTTCGGTCACCGATGAGGCTGGGATCTGTTGGGCAAATGGGGAGTCAGGAGCAGAGGGCGAACGCGGAGGCTCGGGGCAAGGGGGCTCGAACCCGTCCCCTCTCCGGGCTCCCCGGAGGGCCCAACTCGGGGCCTGGAGTCCCCGCCCCCTCCCCTCGCACCTCCCTCGCGCGGTCCTCGGCCCCGCCCCCCCCGCCGTGTCCCTCCTTCCCAGAACCTCGTCCCTTCCACTCAGCCTCCTCCCGACACCTACTCCTCCCGACTCCCTCCCGGCGCCGCTAAGTTTCTTCGCCTGCGACCGCGCGCGGAGCCGGAGCCGGATCCGGGGCCGGGCCGGAGCGGCGTCCCCTTGCCCTGTTCCCGAGCGCAGACTCCGGCCCGGCCCCGGCCTGGGCCCCGGCCCCCCGAGGCATGCTGTGCGGCCGCTGGAGGAGCCGCCGGCGCCGGGAGCCCCCGGTGCCGGCCCAGGTCGCAGCGTCTGTCGCGTTCCCGCCCCCGCCCGCACCCCAGGACGGCAGCACCAGGAGGCCCGGGCTGCGAGCGCTGAAGAAGATGGGTCAGTGACCGGCGGGGGCGGTTCGGGTGGGCACGGACTGCTTCCTGCGGCGCAGCCTGGGAGGGCCGGGGTGTTCGGCGAACCGTTAGGGGGCTTCCCAGGCTGCAGGGGATCGTGGGTAGTATGGCGAGGTGTGGAATGCCAGCACCGTTCCATCTGGGGGCCGCACCTGCGGTCGCCCGAGGTCCCCGGGCCCAAGCTTGGCTCCCAGTATGTCCTTTGTTTCCCACCAGGAGGCGGCCGCGGGGCGTGCTGGAGTGAGAGTCTGGGCGGTTGGGGGTTCCTGAGGGCCCGGAGGGTGGAGTGGGAAACAGGCTCGGGGCGTCCACCTTTCCAACACCCCGTGCCTTCTAGGGTCTGCGAGGGTCCCAGGGCGTCCCAGGTTCTTGGCCGCCTTTAGGAGGGCCTAAGAGCTGGGGAAGAGACTCACCTCTCAAGCCAGCCCTCCAACCTAGCAGCCCCCAGGGGGGTTGCAGAGACACTGGTAGGACTGGTCTAACTGCTGAGAACACAGTCCTTAGTATCAGAAACCAAAGTTCCCATCTCAGATTTTGGGAGAAATCCCTGTGGGAAGGGAATGTGTGGCTTATTAAGCATCTTCCAGAGATAGGCAGCACTGGGCGGTCACATATGTGGCGGGCATTCAGTCTTCGCCTTCCTGACAGGTAGATGGCACAATCCCCATGACACAGATGAGGACACCGACCCAGAGGAGTTAAGGAATCTGTTTATGACCACACAGCTAATAAGAGGCACAGGTTGGCCTGTGGGCTGTGTCCTCCCACACCGCCCCCGGTACCCTCAGAGTCTGGGCGAGGAGGCACTGACTTGGTGGTTAAGTGGCTTGAGAGACGGGGCATATGTGTGAGTCTTTTGTAAAATGTAAAGTGCCTTGAAACCGGGGTATCGGAACTGCTGTTTGTAGAATAGTAAACGATGGACAGATGGGGTGCGGAGTTGAAGGAACAGAAGGACAGGGCTGCCCGGGGGACCTGTGTGAAGCTTGGGGCAGAATTTAGGGGTCCCAGTCGCCAGTCTTGCCTTTTTTTTGGCCACTGCTTTCTACCCCCGTTTTTTTACTGCTCCTTCCTGCCACTCATTCGATCCGAATGTATTGAGCACTATGTTCTGAGCAACATGCCTGGCATTCTCCTTATGGAGACTTACGACGTGATCTCTGCCCTCCTGCCATCAGTCACGCATGCATTCAACAAACATTCATTGAGTGCCTACGGTATGCTCTGCCCCGGGGTTTCAGCAATGAATAAGACAGACACAGTCCTGGCCGTTAGGGAGCTGAGCATCGGGAAGGAGGTCAGACAATGAAGCACAGAAAGGAGACTAGGAAGGGAGGGGTAAGGGAGAGGCTGGGGAACCAGCGAGGGCTCTGGCTGCCCCCAAGAGCCACAGACTGGAGCGAGGCAAAGGGGAGAGGCAGGTAGAGCCGATCGCCCAGGCCCCTCCTTGTAGCGTTAGGGACTTTCTCTGGAGGGCCGGAGTTGTGCCCAGCAGGGCTGGTTCGGATGAACGCAGGGGTGAAACAGAGAGACCAGGAGCGGGGAGGCTGAGGGGTCGGTTGGGCAGACAGACTTGGGCTGGTGCAGCTGAGATGGGTTCCGGAACCGCCCAGGGTTTAGACTGGGCTGGGCTCTGCAGTCGGTGGGATTGGACAGGTGTCTCTGGTGGGTGGCAGTGTCCTTCGTTCTCTGGGCTGAGGAGCAGTGGTGGTTTGGGGACAGGAGGAAAGCCACGGGGAGCTGAAGTGCCACTGAAGAGAGCCCAAGGAGCCAGCCACTCACAGGGCCTCTGGCTGCCAGGGGAGGGCAGAGCTGGCGGCCTGCACACCTGCCTGCCTCTTGATTCCCCGCACGTTCGCTGGGCCTCATCGGCGAGCCTGGCCCGGCACCAGGGGCCGGGGCCACGCAGATGAGCGCCCTGCCCTCAGGGAGTGCACCGGTTAGTGGCAGGAGACACTTGTAAACAAACAATTACAGCGGAGCCCAGGCTGCGTGAGGCTGCACGGGGGCTCTGGGCACTCTGTCACAGTGACGCTGTCAAAATATGTGGGTGTCAGAATGTCATCTGGCCGCCTCCCTCCTCACCACTGCCTGGTCCTGCTGAGTGACTGCTGAGAGAGGAATGTCCAGTGTGGGGAATGCCCCTTCCCTGGGCCTCACCGAGTCTCAGGACAGGGCAGAGAGGGAACCCAGGTGTCCTGGGGCCCAGTCCCTCAGTCTGTCAACACCCAGGCCTCGACTCACCACCAGGGTAGGCCTGATATGACCCTCACGGCCACAGCCACACCCCTTAGGCTAACAGAACATATTTTATTTCAGAACAGGTCACGGGAGATATTAGGACAGGGAGTGGCTCAGGGGTCAGAGGCTCAGAGGGACCCCCCCAAAAGAAAGGGCCTTTAGGACCACACGGGAGCCAGGATGGAGCCAGGATGAGGAGCAGGAGGGCGGAACGGCCATTCATGATGAGTGGGAGTCATTTGTGGAGCCAGGGGTCCCTCCCCCAGCCCTGCCCCAGGGTGGCTGCCGGCTTGGCCTGTCCCCAGGAAGCGAGGGAGTAGTTGAAGAGTGAGGAGGGACCAGTGAGCGCCATCAACAGGCCAGGCTGGGTGTAGGCCAGTGCTAAGGCTGCATCAGCCCAGATCATACTTACTCCACGGCAGTGGCAGCCCCGGGGGAAGGTGCTGCTGCTGCCGCCGCCCTCACAGAACAGAGAAGAAACTCGGGGCCAAGGGGGCGAAGTCGCTGGCCCGAGGCCACACAGCCTCGGCCTGCCTGCTGCCAAGGCCCAGGTTTCAAGAATGACTCCTTGCTGCCAGGATGAGTGGATACTAATCAACACCTTTGTAACACTTATGCTGAGACATTTCACAGACTTGCTCATTGAAGGCTCACAGTCACAGGACACAGGTGGTACTATGAGCCTCATCTTGCACATGAGGAAACAGGTTCAGAGGTTCAAAGCTGGGAAGTAGCTGAGAGAGGGCGTGAACCCAGGCAGCCTGGCCCAGGGGCCAAACTCCGAACACGGTGACTGAATGAGTGATTTTTCCTGGGGAGGGCCTCTCGCCCTTGGTGACCTTGCCAGCTCCCAGGGGTGCCCTCCCAGGCTTCCCAAATGAAACATAGGATGCCCGGTGAAATGTGAATTTCAAAAACCGACCAGTAATTTGGGACAACTTATACTAAAATATAATTAGTTGTTTATTTGAAATTCGCGTTTCCCTGGGCGCCCTGAATCGTATCTGACAACCCTGTCTCCCAGAACCCCTTTCTGACTCTGTGCCCCACAGCCCCGCCCTGCCCGCGGTCCGCCCAGTGGGCAGAGCACTGAGTGGGCAGAACGCCGCGCCCTGCCCTCCCCGGCCCGCACGCACTGCCAGGTGCCACAGGGCAGGAGGGCTCTGCCGATGGGCTGCCCAGGATGTCTCCTGCGGGGTGAGTGGGGCTGTCCGGGGTGGCAGGGGGTGTCTTCAGAGCAGCCCCCAGTGCTCGCGGGTGCCTGGCCTGGTAGCGGGAAGGGCAGGCATCCCTGCTGGCTAAGCGGGAGCATCCGGGCAGGACTTGGGGGCTGACTCTGTCACGCCTTGTGAGCACCCCCAGCCCCTTCTCCTTCTTCAGCGCTAGGGAGCCTCTCCCACAGCCTTGTCTCCAAACAGGCTTTGTGCCTGTCCCGGCCTGGCCAGGAAGGGTGCTGCCGTCTCCATCTCACCGTGCCCGGCCCAGGCACAGGAGAAGTGCCGCCTGCCTTTCCTGACTTTCTTGATTCTCCAAGGAATGTTGTAGACTCGGGCTCTGAGCTCTGCTGGACTCTGGCCCTGGGCGTGGCAGCAAGGGGGACATGCTCGGTCCCTGAGGTGCTGGGGCTGCCTGCTGGCTAGAGGGTTTGGGTGGGAAGGTGCCTGGGACTCCTCGCCCTCATGGCCCCAGGGAAGGCTGCTCTTCCCCCCGCCCCCCTGGCATGGAGCTGTCTGCTGTCACTGTTCCCTGCATGTCTCACATTCCTGCTGGAGCCCCACGTGCCCGTCCTGAGTGTGCACTGGTGCGCGCGCACACATCGCCTGTTTTCCTCCCCAAGCTGACCCACCTTTCTCCCTCCCACCAACCCCATACACACACACCAGTGCACACGCCCTGTATGTACACAGCACCCTGCACACACTCTCACTGGATACCTGCCACTCCTTTCACACCCTGCTCTCTGCCTCCTAGCATCCTACCCCTCTGTGCACGCACCCCGTTAATTCACAACAGCTCCTCCCCGCCCACCTGCCTGCTCTGGCCCCTGCCTCTGCCCTGCGTGCCCCTGCGTCCATCCCTTCCTTGGGTGGCCCACACCGTTGGCAGCCTCCACGACTTTGCCTTCTCGGAGCTTCAGTGGCCCATCCGTGAAAAGGGTGGGACTCGGGGGTCAGCGATGGACTTGGCCTTCCCCACGAACCCTTCCGGCTCTGCCACTGAGGCCGTTTCCTGCCCCTGGCTCTGGCTGCCGAGACAGAGCTGCTCAGGCCTCCAGCCTCCACGCAGCCACACCAGCCCGTCTGGAGGCGGCAGCTGGGAGACCGAGGGCCTGCCCACCCCTCACCGCCTCCCAGCCCCTCTCTAGGGGCTGAGATACAGCGTCTGCTCAGGGAGGTGTCTGAGCCCCAGCGGACAACACGGAACTGGGAAGGAAAAGGGACCCGCTGGGGGCCATGGGACGGAGGAGGACAGACGTAGTGGGACACCTGGTCCCTGATCCCTATTCCCTCCTGGGTCACTACCTCAGTTTCCTTCTTTCCTTCTTTATTCTCATTTATTGAGAGTCTGCGGTGGGCTAGGCCCTAAACGGAGCGCTTTATGTGCTTTTGGGTCATTGAAGCCACGTGCAGCTCTGGGGTGGCGGCTCCCCAACTCTCACGCACTCCAGCCTCACCTCTCAGCCCCCTGCGACCCTGGACAAGGTAGCTCCGCCGCGCCCCTTTGACATCTTTGTTGGAATTCGCATACCATAGAATTCACCCATTTCAATGTAGTACAATGGTTTCTGACATACTACAGCAATATTTTTTTAAAATTGTGTTAAAATATGTATATAAGATAAAATCGGCCATTGTAACCACTTTTAAGTGGCTTTTTCGGTGGCATTATTTACATTCACAGTGTTGTGATATCTATTCTGAAAAGGTTTCTATCACTCTAAACAGAAACTCTGTGGTCATGAAGCAGTAATTCCCTATTCCCTCCACCCGTCAGCCCCTGGTCCTCTAGTCTACTTTCCGTCTCTGATTTTTTTTTTAATTGAAGTAAAAGTGACATAATCTGTCTTTATGAATGTGACTATTTTAGGTGCTTCATATAAATGGAATCACATAATATTTGTCATTTTGGGTCTGGTGTATTTCACTTAGCATAATTTTTATTTTATTTTATTTTTTATGTATTGATTTTAGAAGGGGGAAGGCGGAGAGAGAAGGAGAAAGAGAAAAGTTGATTTGTTCCACTTGGTTATGGACTCATTGGTTGAGTGTTGTATGTGCCCTGACTTGGGAGTGAACCCGCAGCCTTGGCATATTGGGACGATGCTCTGACTAAGTGAGCTACCCAGCCAGGTCAGCATAATGTTTTCAAGGTTCATCCATGTTGTAGCATAAATCGTATTTTGCTCCTTTTATGGCTGAATAATATTGCACTGTATGGATAACACCCCATTTTGCCTGCCTATTCATCAAAGGGCACCTGGCTGGTTTCCACATTCTGGCTGTTGTCTGTCCTCATTTTTACTGCTCTTATTTCATGATTATTCCCCCACCACAGTCGAGGGAGTCATGGTGCTGCCCAGCCCAGCTGCAAGGCAGAGATGTAGGGATAGAGAACCCACAGAAATTGCAGGAGGCAGGCAGCTTGTGCACCTGGTCCGAGCAGGCAGGAATGAGACGGAGGAGACACACATGGGTTTGGGCTTGGGAGGGCCTATAAGTGTTTACTGGGTAGCAGGCAAAGAGCCAGGAACTTCCCAGCATCTGCACCCGGCGCCTAGGCCCTCCTCCTCACCTCACGCCCTTACCTCTGTTGGTCCTGCCCCTTTTGTCTGACATCCCCAACCCCTTACTGCCCCAAGGTTCAGAAGTTCAAGCCCTGGGGAAACAGACTCAGCACCTGGCCCAACCTGGCCCTGCACCCTCATCCTGCTTGGATTTTCCACTGGGGGTGTGGCTGAGCAGATAGTGTGACCCAGGGCCAGTGCCTGTTGGGTAGACAGACTGGAATGTCACACCTTCCCCTGAGAGGTTCATGGGGCAGCTGGAGGTGAGGGCCGGAAGCGGGGACCCCCTCAACGTGGGAACCTGTCCCGGCTGCAGGCTGGTCAAGAGTGCAGGCTGCCTGTCTCCATGTCCTGTTTGCAGAAGGCTCTGGACAAAGCAGGCCCTCAGTGACTCACCTCCATTTCTGGCCTTAGTCATTCACTACCCGCCCCTCCTCTCCACCCCGCCCTCCGACGACTACGGGCTTGGCATCGAGGGCTGGCCAGGTCAGGGGAGGTGGCTGCCGCTGCAGAGTCTGGTAGCCATGCAAATGAAGGGCCCTTTCCGAGCAGCTGGGGAGGCGGAGGATGGGTGGGCTCAGCTGCGGTGGCCCTGCAGGTTTCCCTGGCTGTCCTGCCCCCACCCCGCCGCCGTTTCTCAGGAGGAGAGAATTCAGAGGTTGCCAGATGCGGGGGTGGGGGTCTGAGGGCCTGGTGAGCCTCTTGGCCTGGTGCGCGCTACACTCCATCTCCCCTTCCCGGCTAGAGGGCGCCAAGTGGGCACCGACCCTTCCAGAGGGCCGCAGCTTAAACCCTGAGAAACCCCTTGGAGCCACTGGGGCCACCGGCTGGCCCCAAGGGGGATCTTGGCCTCCAAAGGATGGCAGACTTCTCCTGCCCCCGATGCCCTGATTCTCAGTCACAGGTGCCCTCAAAGTCACAGGGTGGATTCTTAAACACACAGAGGCTCGGGCCCCACCTACACCTGCTTGATGAGAACCTGGCCCGTGGGTTTTGCAGCCTCCCGCAGGTGAGAGCGATGCACGGCCACAATTGGGAAACCCAGACCCACGAGGCGTCTGCTCTGAACTCGGTGGGAAGGGGCAGGGCCGGGGGCAGGCGCACTCAGTGCCCCGGCTGTCTGCCCGTCTGTCCCCACCTTTCAGGACACACGAGCCGCAAGCCTGTTTCCAGGCCGTGCACTGAGGTGAGGATGCTAGGTCTCACCCCGCCCCTGAATTTATTCAAGTCCACCGAAATTACAGTTTAGGTGGGATGTTTGTTTTAATTAAAGTAAAACATGCTGTTAAGACTTCCTAGAGGAGGTAATGTCTGAGCTGGACCTTGAGGGACAGAAGGGAGGGGGATACAGCAAAGGCCCCGAGGGGGTGAGAGGAAGGCCCAGGGAGTTCGACCTGAGTCCTTAGGTCAGAGTTTGCAGCCGGGGGGCATGGACGGGGGGGGCCTTGGGGCCACAAAGCCTGAAGCCAAACCCAGTTTGGGGGGCTTGTTAAAATAAAGGGAGGAGGAGAAACCCACAGTCCCTTCTCCTTTGGCTCACAAAGTAGCGTTTTGGGCTTTTTGTTTGTTTCAATTTGATTTAGTTGCCAACATGGAAAAGTCTGGAGGCCTCACATACAAATCCAGATTTTGGTTCTCTGAAAATCCTGGGCCCTCATCCACCCCCGGCTGCCCGACTCCTTCCAAAGGGTGTGGCCCTACGGTTTGCCCAGTTTCCACCTCTTCCATTGTCCCCAGGCTCCTAAACCTTTTGTGTTGACCTCCGGGGAGGCAAACCCAAGCAGGGCGGGGTACCGCCAGGCAGGGCACCGTCTGGACTGAGTCTTGGACGTTGCCCCAGCCGTCTCTGTAGCTGGCGCCCCATTGATTCACACAATGAGTGAATGGCCAGCACGAGGCTTAGAGCGGTCACGGGTTAGTGCCACCAAGGCTGTGTTCCTGGGAGGTGGCAGTTAGGACCTGACTCCCCGGAACGCTGACTTTAAATTCTGCTCCTTCTAAAATATTTACAAATCATGTATCTGATAAGGGGCCAGTATCCAAAATGTATTTTAAGAACTCATACAACTCAATAGCGCAAAAAAAAAAAAACAAACCAAAAAACCCCAACTTACAACAAAAAACCCCAATCAGATGGTCAGGAGGTGCATGTAAAGATGCTCAACATCATTGATCACTAGGGAAATGCAAATTGAAACCAGAATGAGGTATCACCTCACACCCGTTAGAACGGCTGTCATCAGAAAGGCTGGAAACAAGTGCTGGCGAGGATGTGGAGAAAAGGGAAACTTGTCCACTGCTGGTGGGAACGTAAGGGCTGGTGCAGCCACTGTGGAAGACAGTATGGAGCTTCCTCAAAAAAATTAAAAATAAAACTATCATATGATCCAGCATTCACATTTCAGGGTGTTTATCCAAAAGGAATGAAAACACTAACTCAAAAAGATATATGCACCCCCATATCCGTTGCTGCATTATTTGCAACAGCCAAGATAAGGAAGCAAACTAAGCGTCCATCAATAGATGAGTGTATACAGAAGATGTGAGGTAGATAGATATATATGCATGGTCTCAGCTGTAGAAAGGAACGAAACCTTGCTATTCACAACAGCTGGATCCAGAGGCGACTATGCTAAGTGAGGTCAGTCAGACAGAGAAAGACAAATACCATATGATCTCTCTTACATGTGGAATCTAAAAATAAATAAACAACCAAGCTCATAGCTACAAAGAGCAGATTGGTGGTTGCCAGAGGTGGGGGCAGGTGGTTGGCGGGGTGGGTAGTGGGTAGGAGAAATGAGCGATCTTTTTCTTTTAGTTCAAATAAATCGAATGTAAAGTAAACAACTAATTAAAGTCTGCTCTCTCATGCCTGTCCTGCCCAGCGTGGCGGTGGGGGCAGGGAAGGAAGAAGGTAGGAGCTGAGGGTAGGAGATCAACATAGCGGCCAAGGGCAAGTGTTCTGGAGCCTGACCTCAGGGTTTGTAGCCTCTTTCCACCACTTCCTTGCCTTAGAATTCCGGAAGGTGCCCGAATCTTCTCTGCCCGTTCCCTCCTGTGTTAACACGTGAGCAGGTTCTGAGGCGTGAGCAGTAGGTGCTTTGTAAGCATTTTGTCTTGTTAGGGAAAGTAGACACTGTGACTGGAGAACATATGTGGGCTGAGGGGTGACATGGGATTGCGACAGTGGCTGGGCAAATGCCAAATGTCACAGGAGACCCTGTTTTCAGCTGGGCCCGCCGGGGCACAAGGCGGACCCCTGGAGGTCAGCCCCTGGCCAGCCAAGGCAGGCCCTGGAGGCTTTGATCTGTGGCCCTGGAGCCAGAGTGGCCTCTGCAGTTCCAACTCTTTGGAAAGCAGAAGTGAGGAGCTTGCGTTGCAGCAAGAGATTTAGGTTAGATAATGACACTGCTTTCTTGATGGTCAGGGTTTCATATCCTGTGAAAAGGGGAGGTGACATAGTCCGGGCTTGAAGGCTGGAGGCCATGACGGAGGAGGGTGGCAGAAGGGATGGCAGTGAGACCTGAGCCCCACGCCCTGCGGGAGGGGTGGTTCTGCTGAAGGGCCTCCGGAGGGCACTGCAGAGAGGAAGGGCCTGGTAGTGGCACAGCTGCCAGGGGAACCTGGGTGTGGCGCACCAAGCCGCAGGTCGAACCCAGTATCAAGGGCATGTTCCACTACGGGGAGAGAGTCCTGCATGGGCTTGAAGACGCCCAGGGAGGGAGGCCACAGCCCCACTGGGGGAAGCGCGGAAGGAGGTCCTGGTAGGGCCAGGCTCTAACGCACCCCGGCCTCCCGTCTCGCCTACCGCGCCCTGCCACCCCTGCACCCGCAGGCCTGACAGAGGATGAGGACGTGCACGCCATGCTGCGGGGCTCCCGGCTCTGCAAGATCCGCTCGCGCAAGTGGCAGAAGGAGCGGCTGTACCGGCTGCAGGAGGACGGCCTGAGTGTGTGGTTCCAGCGGCGCATCCCGCGCGCGCCGTCGCAGCACATCTGTGAGCTGGGGCGGCCGGGCGCCGGGCGGGCTCGGGACAGCGCCCTGCCGGGCCGCCGCCTGACCCTGCCGCGTGGCCATCGCTCTCCGCAGTCTTCGTGCAGCACATCGACACCGTTCGCGAGGGGCACCAGTCCGAGGGCCTGCGGCGCTTCGGGGGAGCCTTCGCTCCGGAGCGCTGCCTCACCATCGCCTTCAAGGGCCGCCGCAAGAACCTGGACCTGGTGGCGCCCACGGCCGAGGAGGCGCAGCGCTGGGTGCGCGGCCTGGCCAAGCTGCGAGCGCGCCTGGACGCCATGACCCAGCGCGAGCGCCTGGACCAATATCCTGACCTGGGCGGGGCCGGGCGGCCTTGGCGAGGGGTGGGGTGGAGGGAGGCCGGCCCTGTCCCTGGAGGACCCCAGGCCGAGGGGAGGTTTGCCCTATCCTTCGGAGGTCCGCAGCCTGAGCCAGAGTCCCCAGTCCCTTGTCTTCAGAACTGAGGGCAGTGGCGCGGCCTTCTGACTCTGAGGAGCCCCAGCCCCATGGGGGACAGCCTGCCACTGTGCTTGCGGAGCCCACAGGCCCCTACACTGGGGAGGCCCCAGGGCCAGGTGGTGGGGACATGCCTGTCAGTTCCCTGTCAGCTGGGGGCAGTGCCAAGCCTGTTGCTGGTATTTCCTGAGCACCCACACCTGGATCCACTCCTATCTGCACCGGGCGGACTCCAACCAGGACAGCAAGATGAGCTTCAAGGAGATCAAGAGCCTGCTCAGAATGCTCAATGTGGACATGAATGACATGTACGCCTACTGCCTCTTCAAGGTGGGCCCCTGCCACCACGCTGACCTCTGACCTCTGTTCCCTGCCCTCCCCTGGCCATCTGAGTCATCAGCTTTCCTTTCCATCCAGCTTTTGTGGAGATAGGGCCTCGCGCAGCAGAAAGGCCACATTGAGCCTACCTGCCCTTTTGCCCTGTCCTGAGGCTACAGGCCAGGGTGGCCGTGCTGGCCCAGAGCTTCCTTCCTGCCCTCAGGCAGACCCCGAGGGTAAGGACGACCCTGGGCTTCCTCGCCCTCCCAACTGAGCAGCGAAGCTGTAGTTTCTATTTCTCTAAGCTCACACGGCACCCTTTGCACAGGTGATCATGTGTGATTCGCACACGGGAGCAAAGGGAGGAGCCGGCTCGTAGGTGCGCGTGTGCACCTGCCTCCACTGTGGCCTGTGTGGCACCTCTACTCCAAGCACGGGGTGCACAGGCTTGGGCTCTGTGTCACTGGCCCAGTCAGAGCACGTGGCAGGCTCCTGTGTGCTTGTTGACTGTGTGACCGGCCTGTGATGCTGAAAAGGAGGAGAGCCATGGCACCTGTACCCTGGTCCAGCAGCTGCGTGCGGACCCTCATTGGCCCTGGGCGCGAACACTGGAGGGGGAAGTGTGGCACAGGGGCTCAGTCCTGCCCCAGGGTCGCCATTTTTCCTCCTGCATCTTGATTCTGGGGTTAGGTCACGGTGCAGAAGGACATGCGCGGAACCCGAAAGGCCTCCTGTGGCACCTCAGCCCTGCAGGTCACCAGCTGTGTGTGCTTGAGTGCGACCAGCCCTCGCCAGCCCTCAGCCTCTCCACCGCGAAACGGGGGACACCTGCCTTTGCGGCCAGGGCAGGTGCCGGGGGTGTCGGTGCCGGCCAGCTTTCCCAGGGCGTCCCCGCCTCTGAGTTTCTCCCCGTCTCCTAGGAGTGTGACCGCTCCAACAACGAGCGGCTGGAGGGGGCTGAGATCGAGGAGTTCCTGCTGCGACTGCTGAAGCGCCCCGAGTTGGAGGAGATCTTCCACCGGTACTCGGGCGAGGACCGCGTGTTGAGTGCCCCTGAGCTGCAGGAGTTCCTGGAGGACCAGGGCGAGGACGGCGCCACGCTGGCCCATGCTCAGCAGCTCATCCAGACCTACGAGCTCAATGAGACAGGTGGGGCCTGGCGGATGGGTTGGGGCCAGCACAGCAGGTCGTGGTGTCTGACGGCTCTGGATTCCCAGCAAAGTGGGCTTGATTATTCCTGGCTGTGGGTACCATCTCGGAAGGACTGCCTTGCCTTCCCCAGACTCAGCTGCCACATCTGTACAATGAAATATTAATGTCCCTTCTCACAGAGTTTGGCTAAAGATTAAATGGCATAGCTTTGTAGAGTTGAGTCAGTAGTCAGGAGGCCGTTATTAAGTGGAGTGAACTTTGGGGGCTTTTGGGGCTGGGTACAGGGTTCCCCGATGCAGCCTGATGCTGGCTTCTGCCCATCCCTGCAGCCAAGCAGCATGAACTAATGACCCTGGATGGCTTCATGATGTACCTGTTGTCGCCCGAGGGCGCCGCCCTGGACCAGGCCCACAAGCACGTGTTCCAGGACATGGACCAGCCGCTCGCCCACTACTTCATCTCTTCCTCCCACAACACCTACCTGACTGACTCCCAGATTGGGGGCCCCAGCAGCACCGAGGCCTACGTTAGGTGCCTAGGGGAGGGATGGGGCAGTGAGCACCCCCAGGAGCCCAGTTTGGTGGGGAAATGGAGCTCAAGTCGGGCTGTGGGCTTCCTGGGCCCCACCTGGCTCGGTCTGTTTCTCTCATCTGTCCATCCACATCCGCATGATGCCTTGCCTGTCCGTCTGTCCGTCCGCAGGGCCTTCGCCCAGGGGTGCCGCTGCGTGGAGCTGGACTGCTGGGAGGGGCCAGGAGGGGAGCCCATCATCTACCACGGCCACACGCTCACCTCCAAGATCCTCTTCCGAGACGTGGTCCAGGTCGTGCGTGACCACGCCTTCACGGTGAGCCCAGCCACCCGTAGCCCTTCCAGAAGAAACCTCTGCCCAGAGAGCCACTCACTCACCGGGCGCCACCGGGGCGGCTGGCCAGTGGGGCAGAATGAAGCTGAGTGAGAGGCCTTCTCCCACCCTCGTATTTAGTAAATGTTTAAAGTCACACCATTTCTCCAGAAGAAAACCTTGGGGCAGGGAAGGACATTTCCATCGTTATTCCCAAAGAGTAAGCCGTAAGAGAGACCTAACATGGCGTCTACGTAAAACTGCAGTTTTGGTCAAGCTACACAAATCTTACTGCCAACAAATGAACTGGGGAAAAGTTTGCATTGTAATCATGATGCAGTCAATGCCATGAACATACAAAGAGCATTTATAAAAACAAACCAGTTCTGCAGCCACCCTTAGCCTCCCGGACGGTCCGCCCCTGCCCATATCTGACCTCTGCCCCTCCACGCGCACACCGACCCCGGTGCGTGCCCCATGCCCCGCTGACTCAGTTCCCCCCGACCCCCGCCTCTGCCTGCCTGTCCTAAAGGGGGTGGGGGCTGCATGTAGCAGGGGTCCTGGTTGCGAGGGGAGGAGGCGAGAAGGAGCGAGTGACTCCGAGCTGCTGCTTCTCCCCCCAACAGCTGTCCCCATACCCTGTCATCCTGTCCCTTGAGAACCACTGTGGGCTAGAGCAGCAGTCTGTCATGGCTCGCCACCTCCGCACCATCCTGGGGGACATGCTGGTGACACAGGCCCTGGACTCCGAGAACCCTGAAGAGCTGCCATCCCCAGAGGTAACGCCCCCCGACGCGTCTGTCTGCGGTCCACTGGCCGCCCCCGCTCATGCCACCGCCCTGGTCCAGGCCCCTCCCCTCTCTCTGCCTGAACCTTCTCCTGCCCCTCCTTTCCGACACCTGCCACCTCATGGTCTTAGTTTCCTGCCCTCTGTCTTTGACTAGCCCAACCCCACCCTCTTGCATGGCATCCAAGGCCTTCCGTGACCTGGCGCCAACCCCTCTGCTCTGCCTCGCTGCCCAGAGTCCCTGCGAGCTCGTCCATCCCACCTCGAAGGCCTTGGTTGACCCCAACTCCACCTGGCGCCCCCTTCCCAGCCAACTGGCCTGCCGAGTACCACCTGCTTAGAATTCTAGCGCAGCTTAAACCACCTCTTCCCGTGGCCGGAGCAGCTGTCCCAGCGCCCTGGCCAGGGGTGGTCTTGCCTGCTCTCCTTCCAAACCCCTAAGCATTTTATCCGCCTCCTTGAGAAAACTCTCCTCCTACTCCCAATCCCAAATATGTGAAAAATGTTGATCCACCTGTGTGTGTGTAATAGGATTTTTTATTAGCATACAAAAACACACATGGTAAAAAAAAAATCGAGCTGTACATAAGTGAATACAGTGGAGAATGGGTTTTCTTCCACTGGAGCTCACCCCACCCTATTCCACATGAAGCAACCATCTTCCGCAGTTTCTCGTGTATCCTTCCGGAATTTTCCCATGCATACTTACCCCCGTCCATAGCCATCTTCTCTTTCAAATGTTACACAAAGATGATCATGTGATCCCATGTTCTATACTTCATTCATTGAGATCTTTTTTGAAGAAGGTGACCTCTCTTTCAGTCCTGAGTTGCCTCCATCATTTTAACGGCCGCTGCGTAGTGTTCTAATGTTTGGAGGAACCTCATTAACTTGTCCCCTATTGATGGCTCCAGGTTGTTTCCGGGTTTTTTTAATATTACAAACCACCCATTTTTGTGTCCCTTTCCTGGCCTCGCACCCCCAGCCAGCCTCTCACCCAGTGGCGGCGAATGACTGGCCACCTGGCCAACAGGGGAAGAGGGCTTAATTGTCCCATGTTGGCCTCCACAGCAGCTGAAGGGCCGGGTCCTGGTCAAGGGGAAGAAACTGCCAGGTGTTCGGGGCGAGGACGGTCGAATTCTCTCAGACCGGGAGGAGGACGAGGAAGAGGAGGAGGAGGAAGAGGAGATGGAGGCTGTCGAACAGAAGCGCGGGGTGCGTGGGGTGGGCTCTGTGCTGCTGCAGAGCTTGGGGCAGGTGGCAGGGGAGGGAGGGACGGACGGAGGACTAGGGGCCGAGGCTGGGGACCCGCCCTGAGGCCCGTCTCCTAGGCCAAGCAGATCTCCCCGGAACTGTCGGCCTTGGTTGTGTACTGCTGTGCCACTCGCCTGCGGACCCTGCGCCCTGCCCCTGCCCTGTCCCAGCCCTGCCACGTCAGCTCCCTCAGCGAGCGCAAGGCCAAGAAGCTCATCCGAGAGGCAGGTAGGAGCTGGGGGACTGCGGGCTTCTTGTGTGGGGGGCGGGGGAGGGCCAGTATCCTGGAGATGGTCTGGAAAGGAAATGGAGAGGGCTTTGCGGGCAATAAAGAGGTCAGGAGGGCCCCAGAGAGGGGATCAGGGGATCGGTGCACAGCACAGGCCCAGCACCGGGCCCCACGTGCATGGTGGGGAGAGGGCCCAGGGAGGAGGGAGCCTGCTGCCGGCCCACGCCGGGCACACAGCCTACTGGTGGAGCCAGACAGAGCTGGGTAATTATGATGTGGGGGTGATCAGCTGGGCCCTGATAGGGACGGGGGAGCCCAGGTGAGATCAGGGAAAGATTCCTGGACAGTTGACACCTGAGAAGACAGCTGGCAGAAGGATGAGGAAGCAGCCAGGTGACCAGGTTGCACAAGGCCTGGAGGCTGGCATGCAGGAAGGGCTCCGGGAAGCCGGTGTGGCTGGAGGGTGTGTGTGGGATAAGTAAGGAGCGGCGCGGTATCAGTCTGGAGCCAGGTGTTTCAGGTGCTGAGTCAGGAACGCGGGAGGGGCACCCTGCCCTGCCCTGGCCTTCAGCAACCTCCTCCTGAGGTTCCCCCACCCCCTGGGTCAGAGAAGAGGAGCTGGAGCAGGGGAAGCTGGGGATGGGAATTCAGCCTGTTCCCAGCAGGTCTCAGCACTTGGGGGAGGGGTTACGGACCCTCCAGGAGAGGGATACCCCAGGAGCCTGTAACAATCCCACCCCAACTTCCCACCAGGGAACAGCTTCGTCCGGCACAATGCCCGCCAGCTGACCCGTGTCTACCCACTGGGGCTTCGGATGAACTCCGCCAACTACAGCCCCCAGGAGATGTGGAACTCAGGCTGTCAGCTGGGTGAGGGGCCGCCGAGCAGCGAGCGGGGGTAGTAATGCTTTGTGGGATGGCTTCCGGGGTGTCATGGCAGGCCCCGGCAGTGATAGGGCTGCACAGGTTTCCGGAGGGGGAACAAAGTACTTTGTGTTTTTTTAATTTTTAGGTATTGATTTTAGAGAGTAGAAGGAAGAGAAACATTGATTTGTTGTTCCACTTAATGCATTCATTGGTTGATTCCTGCATGTGCCCTGATGGGGAATTGAACCCTCAACCTTGGCATATTGGGACAATGCTCTAACCAATCAAGCTATCAGGCCAGAGCCAAAAGTGTTTTGTTGATAATGACAATTGAGCAGGGCCCTGGCTAGTGTGGCTCAGTGGATTGAGCACCAGCCTGTGAACTGGAAGGTTGCAGTTCAAATCCCGGTCAGGGCACACGCCAGGTCCCCAGTAGGGGGCGTGCGAGAGGCCACTGGCAGCCAGCTGATGTTTCTTTCCCTTTCTCCCTCCTCCCCTCTCTAAAAAGAAAAAATAACACCTTTTTAAAAAATTGTGAGCAGGGTATGTAGAAGTTAAACCTCTCCACCCCCATGTGCCCCCTTGACACATATGCACACGTGCCCCTCGCAATACCATGCTCAGCCCTCCAGAGGAGGGCAGTGTGGCCCCTTGGGGTACCTTATTGAAACCTCAGGCCCCGGCTCTGGGGGCCTCTCCGGCATGCCCTGCTCAGCCCCACCTTCCAGCCTCAAGTGACACCAGGGAACAATGGATTCTGGACCGCCTGGCTGCCATGATGCTCCCCCAGCTCCCAGCCACGGTGGGGGCAGGGCAGTGCTCCCCGGACCGTAGGGCCCTGGGCCCTCTTTGGAGAGGAACCAAGTCCTCTGCCTGCAGGTCTGTCTGGGAGAGAGGGCAGCGGCGAGAGGGCCACTGAAGCCCCGTCCTGACCCCCTTGTGTCCACAGTGGCCCTGAACTTCCAGACGCCGGGCTATGAGATGGATCTCAACGCTGGGCGCTTCCTCGTCAATGGGCAGTGCGGCTACATCCTGAAACCCGAGTGCCTGCGGCGGCCCGACACCGACTTTGACCCGGAGTGCCCTGGCCCGCCCCGAACGACCCTCACCATCCAGGTCAGCAGCCTGGGCTGGGCGCCGCGCTGGGCTCGGGAGGCCCTGGTCCTGGGGGGGGCCGGCCTGACATGGAGGAAGCAGCGGAGGCCTGCGTGGTGGGAGGGCGGTGTGAGTCCTGGGTGGGTGCCGAGGGCAGGCAGGGGCCCCAGGGACGTCCAGGCTGAAGCCCCTCTTCACCCCCTGCAGGTGCTGACCGCACAGCAGCTGCCCAAGCTGAATGCGGAGAAGCCGAACTCCATCGTGGACCCCCTGGTGCGCATTGAGACCCATGGGGTGCCAGTGGACTGTGCTCGAAAGGAGACCAACTACGTGCTCAACAACGGTGAGCGGGCGTGCTGGTGGAAACAGAGTCGGGCGGTGAGCAGAGGGCAGCGCGCTGCGGGGGGCAGGGGCCGCTGGCCGTGACCGTCACGCCTGTGCGTGCCCCAGGCTTCAACCCCCGCTGGGGGCAGACCCTGCAGTTCCAGCTGCGAGTTCCGGAGCTGGTGCTGGTCCGGTTCGTGGTAGAAGATTATGACACCGCGTCCCCCAATGACTTTGTGGGCCAGTTTACACTGCCTCTCAACAGCCTGAAGCAAGGTGGGTGGGACCGGTGGGGATGGAAAGGGAAAGGGGTCCGGGCCTCGGGCTGGCAACTTCCCGTGAGAGCCTCTCCTGAGCCAGGCCCCAGCTGGGATCAGCCCCCGGGGTGGGGTGTGGGCTGCACCCTGCACAGCCCCGACATCTGGCTACCCTCCCCACAGGGTACCGCCACATCCACCTGCTTTCCAAGGACGGGGCCTCGCTGTCACCAGCCACGCTCTTTGTCCATATCCAAACCCAGCACTCCTGAAGGCCGGGCGGACCGGCCTCGGGGCTCTGCCGACACAGGCGCGCCTGCCGGGCAGAGGCCCGCCTCCCCCCGGGGGTGGGAGGCCCAGCCTGCCCCCTTTGCCTGCTCACCAGGCTCTGCCGCAGCCCCTCTGGAAGAACGGGTGGTTCATCTTCGCCCTACAGCCTTGAGGACGGCCCCAGCTCCTGCGTCCTCGGCCCACCTGCACTGGAGCAAATGAAGAGCCGGGCCTGCTGCCGCCCGGAGACCTGGGGAGGATATAGGTGCCCTCATCCCATCGGCGCCCTGAAAGGCGTTGAGCCACACCCCGTGGCCCCCAGCCTGACACTGGCCACCCTGAGGACCCCTCCATCAGGTTTTCCTGGGCTCTTCGCTCTAGCCTTTGAACCTGAGCTCCCTTCTCTGGTTGAAGCCAGAAAAGCTGAGTTTGGGAGCCCGGGGGACACCGAGAAGTAGGTTTTAGCTCGTGTTAGAAGAGCCCTGGAGAGGACGGTAGGTAGAACAAGACTATTTTTAAAAATAAAGAAGGAAATTTCCTCTACCACTGCCACCCCGAGCACCCGAAGCCTCAACCAGCCCACGGGGAGGGATGGGGGCAGAGCCCCTCGGGCCTCCACCTCCAGCAGGTAGGGTGTGAACTTGTCTAGGGCTACTGGGGGCACTGGAGGAGGGGCTGCCGCTCAAATAGCCCCTACCCCTCTTCTTAGCTTAAAGCTGCTGCCCGCACCTTAAGACTGAGGGCACCAGTCACAAGCTGTCCCACCAACCCCCGAAGGAGCCTTAAATGGGGTGGCAGCCGGGGACGGGCTTCTACCAGGACAGAACTCTTAGGGCCCTAAAGGGGTGGGGGCAGGACTCCGAGGGGCCTCATGCAGATCCCCAACTTTGCAGACTGGGCAGGGCACACAGATCCCAGAAACCTGGGGCCCACCTTCCACCTGCCAAGCAGCCTTTCATTTGAAGGCCTGGTGGCAAAGGCTGCTGCGGGCTGTCTCCAAAGATGCTAGGAGAGCGTGCCGAGACAGCCGATGATAGAATCCAGGGAACGCCGGTCAGAAAGGCGTTTTTCTGGGATTAAATGTGGAGCCCTGGCTCCTTGGGTCCCATCAGGCAACAACGCTAACACTGAGCAAGCACAGAGCTCGACAGCAGCTCCGGGCCCAGGTCCCTGGAAAGGGGCTCAGGGGCACCAGCCATGGGAGCCTGAAAGGAGCACAGGGTCAGGGAACGAATGAGCAGTTTGAGAGGGCGCCCTGGCTGGCATGTCTCACTTGGTTGGGGCATCGTCCTGTAAACCAAAGCCACAGGTTTTGATCCCTGGTCAGGGCCCCCATGAGGTAATGGAGCAATGTTTCTGTCTCACATTGATGCCCCCCTCCCCTTCCCCTCTCTCTCTAAAACCAGTAAGCATGTCCTCAGTGAGGATAAAAAAATTATATATTAAAAATACATACCCTGGCTGGTGTGGATCAGTGGACTGAGTGCCGGCCTGCGAACCGAAGGGTCGCAGGTTCGATTCCCAGTCAGGGCGCATGCCTGGGTTGTGGGCCAGGTCCCCAGTGGTGGGCGCATGAGAGGCAGCCACACACTGATGTTTCTCTCCCTTTCTCCTTCCCCCCATCTAAAAAAATAAATGAAATCTTTTAAAAGTATACATACATATATTTTAAAATACCTTCAGTTCCTCGGGCCCTTCCCAGAGGCCGGCTCGGTGGGAGGGCAGCGGGGCCTGCTGAGCTCCAGCGCTCAGAGCAGCCCTGGTGGCTCCCCAGACCCACCGGCCCCGGGCCCAGCGGGAGACGTGGCATCTGAACGAGGGGAAGGGGAAGGTGCTGACTGGGACTGAGGGGCCGATCTGCCCTGGGTGGCAGGAGCCCGGCCCGGGCTCGACGCCTCTGCCAAGGTGCTGGGTGCTGGCACAGCGCCCGGCTGCTCCCGGTACGCGGAGTGAAGCCGGGTCAGCACCAGCTCTGCAATGGTGGGCAGAGGTTTGGGGGAAAACAGCCCAGTCTGCCCTGAAAGGGCAGCCCTGCCATGTGTCTTCAAAAGCTGTCCTGTTGGTGGTCCCAAGAGCCTTCCCTGCAGGGCGCTCTCTCTCAGGGAGGGGGCCCTCTGGCCCTTAATGGGGTGGGGGGGGGACACTCTAGCTGCTCTACCACCACCTGCTGAGCAAGGAGGACCAGGAGGGCAGGAGTTTATTCAGCTGCTTCCTTTATTAGAAACAAGTGAGATGTATCAAGCGGAACAATGCAGTTCTTCCCCCACCCTGGAAATGGATGCCCCTCCCACAGCCCAGAGAAAGCCAAGACAAAAAGGCGAAGCTTCCCCCTTCCCTGTTCCCAGAGGCAGCACCTTGCCTGCAGTCCACCAGGGTTTTTTAATTTAACTGAACGAAATTGTCCCGCGAAGCCTCCCCAGGGACTGGCAGGGCTGCTTTCACTCTGCAGTAGGCAGAACCCACCCCCTGGGTCTCCTGTCCAGGCTTAGGCACTGGCTAGAGATCCACTCCGGGCCCCCTTCCCTGGTCGGACAGCTACCCCCGCCCACCCCGCTGGGCTGCAGTGCCCTAGGGCTTCCAGGCCTTTGGGCCATCCCTTGGGTTGGTTGAATGCTGGTCATCTCTGAGCAAAGGATTAACGACCACTGGGACACCCACTCGGAGGCTTCAGCGAGCCAGCAAGTGGGGGGGCAGGGGCAATGGCAGTTAGAAAGGAGGTGCAGGCAAGGTCTGAAGTGGCCTGGCGCGGGCCAGCCTTCAAACAAGACGTTAGCATTTCTGAAATTAGGCGTGTGGGGTAACAAGCCCTGGACAGACCTTCGTCCAGAGCCCGGGCCTCCTTCCTCCCCAGCTCCCTCCCTACATGGAGGCAGGAGGCCATGGGGATTCGCCACAGGGTTGGGGTCAAATGCAGGGTCAATGCAAAGGCAGGGGAGAAACATTTAGACACATGGGAGTCGGAAAGCCCGGTGCCCGCAAGGGGTGCTGGTGGCGCAGAGGGAGGGCCATGCCTGGGAGGCTCCCCAGCAGCAGCCGCCCGGGGCCGGTCCCAGGGGAGGAGGCCCCAGGTCCTTCCCTTGTCTGGTTCTAGCCGGCTGTGGCTCCGCCATCCTGCAAGGCTCCTTGTGGGGAGGCCTGGGGCCCCGAACAATGGTTCTCTCTGAGCTCTCAGACCTGGAGTCCTGGAAGGGGTTGAGTTGAGGAACCCAAGGGCTGTCTGGACAAAAAGGAGGATAACGCAGCCACCGAGCCAACTCGCGGAGCCTGGGGGGTTATGCTGAGGGTGGGGCAGGGCCCCCACCATGAACCACAGAGTCCAAGGAGCAGGCCACGCAGTTTTGGAGGGAGACACTGAGGCCTTTCCAGGAGACCTGTTTCTTCCAGATCAGCCACAGGCCTCAGTTTCCATTCCATGACCTGGGTCAACCAAGACAAAGCTCACTCCAGGGGCTGTCCGGCACCCCGCATTTCAGGGGCAGTTCGGGCTGGGACTTGGTCCAGAGCAGACCCAGCCTCTGACAGGGAGCGTTTCCGAGTTCCAGGTCCTGCCCGGGGTGGGAAAGAGTCGGGCACTTTGTTCTTTGATATCCTCAGGAGCCTGAGCAGAGCGAGCTGCTCGGGGTGGTATCTGATATCTGAAGGATGGAAGGCAAGCCCCGCTTCTCGACTCCTCCTGTCTGCGGAATGCAGTGAGTATCTTGCTAAGAACAGCAGCTTCTTTGGTCTGGGTATCTTGGAGTCAAGGAGTCAAAGGTCAGCCATGATCTTTGGTGCCTGCAGGCTGCAGCACAGGGACAACAGGAAAAGGGAGGCCTCTAGAGGCCTCTTATGAAAATCCAATCTGGTCTGCAAAGAGCGGGCAATGTCCCAGCAGGTGGCACAGCCCCTGTCCCAAGCACACAATTTCCTCCAGCTTTGGGGACTGCAAAATTAGCCTCTGGCAAACCTCAGCAAAACGTGCAGGCTGAAACACAGCCCTGCTGGCCTGCAGAGCCTGGCTTCAGGGGGCGAGGCCAGGCCGAGACAGCCGCCCGACTGAGGCTTCCTTTCCCTCCCCCGCCAGCAGCCGGGAAACCCCACACCACACTATCCACCCGTTTACTTTCTTCTAGAGCCAAAGTCACACAGAGGCCGGGTGTGGGCTGCTGACAACCCCACGGCCCCACCCCTCCCAAGCCACTCGGCCAGCATGAAAGGGGAAGGCCTGCCCAGCCTCGTGCCTGGAGGCCCTATTCCTTGTGGGGAAACGGGCAGCGGCAAGAACCGTGACCACCACCACAAACGCCCACCAACCACCACCAGTGAAAATGACACTCGGACGATGGCAACACACAATCATGTCTGCTGCCAAGTTCAGATCGGTGTCTAACCACCGCTCCTTGCCGTTCCTTGAACACTGTGTGTCTTGGAAAGGCGTACAAGAGATGGCCAGGGGGTTGGAAGGCACAGGCCAGGGACTGGACTGAAGGGGCCTGGGGATCGGCCCCACACCCTCCTCACCCAACCAGCCCCGGGGCATCGGGGGCTGGCTCTTTGCTCTAAGATGAGCTAAACAGGGATCACACTGACGTGGTCTCCTCAAAGTCTCAAATGCTACAAGGAGGTCAAAGGTCCCCTTCAAACTGCCAGTCACCCGTGGGAGTGGAAAAACAACCTCACAGGGTACTCGTGCCTATAAGATTGGCAACAGCTGGCTGAAGAGTTGGCAGAAGAACTTCCAACAGGGAGCAGGCCAAGAGGATGGAGGAAGGGACTCAATGAACTCTGCTTTCATAGGTCGTCACTGCCGCCCAGTTTTTGAACGCAGACAACGCCCAGGGCCAGCAGGCCGGCCTCTGAGCAGGGGCAGCCCCGGCCAGGACTCCACCTGCAGCCTGGGAGACCTGAGCCCTCCTCAAAGCTTGGCACAGTCCCTCCGCCTCACCCGCCTTCTCCAAGCCAATCACCCCAGCTGATTGAGAAGGGGAACTGGGCAAAATTCCCCACATCCTCTTTCTCCTGCTCCCCCAAGAAAAGCCAGTGCCTGCTTTCAGAAGGAAGTCAGTCACTGTA